AAAATAAAGAAAAGTATAAAGAAAGAATTACAAGAATTCAAAGATGAAAAAGGAAATGTACAACCAAGGGTAAAATTGTGCTTTGACACACAACATTATTTTGCCGCAGGAGCTGGCAGATTTATAGAAGACTATAAACAAGTCCTGGACAAATATGGAAAAGAAATACATCTCATACATATTAATAACGTTATGAAAGAACGAAAATTGACAAGGAATGATGGATCGATCCTAGTAATGAAACCTACAATATTCAGATCTGGACAAGATATACATGCACCATTGCATGATGGACAATTACCCCAAGAAATATTTGAAATGATAATGAAACATTCAAATGTTAAAGCAGCAATTCTAGAAACACCTGCTAAAATGGAACAACAAAAAGATGACCAAATATCTGAAGTATATACACTCAGGAAGTATGCTAAAGACCTTATATCTGAAGATAAAGAATTATATGCATCAATCGAAGAAAGAATAGATGCAATGCTAAGAGATCAAATATCTAACAAACAACCTGTAGATATAGAAATGATAGATCTAACAGAACATATGCAACGATTAACAATACAAGATCATGAACATTATCAAGATCCTAAAGAGGAGGAATCTCAAAAAAGAATACGAGAACAAAAAAGAGCAAAAACCTTACATATAACTAATACTTTCTTAAATAAATATCGAAAGGAAGAAACTCAAAAGAAAAAGAAGCAATCACCACCGACTACACCTAAAAGTATAACATCAATGTTAAATAAAAATGCAAAAGACATAACGCAATTAAATCAAAAAGCTAAAGAAAATAAAGATACACAATTTATTCAAGATCTGGAAGATCTTATGAAAGAAATAACTGATATAGAAAATCAATACGAGTCGATTCAAAGAATGCCTCGTGAAACACTTGAAAAAGCTTACGAAAATATTAAAGGGATACCTACAGTACCCGAACAAATTAAACAAATAAATGATAATGAAACACCTAGAGAAAAACTATATGAGTTCTTAAACTGGCACAATGAACAACAAGAACCAACAAAACAATATTATAAAGATGAAATAGCTGAACGAGAAAAACAATTCTATTATACATATGACGATGCAATAAAGATACAAC